CTAGTTGGGTCTCATCAGCAGTTAGATTCCATCGACCCAACTGGGGACCTCATTGGCAGAACGCAAGCATGCTACCCACTCGGCCACCGGGCAGCTGATCAGACAGTTTTTCATTTTACATTTACATGATATAGCACAGCCGATCTTCGTGAAAGTTTCCAACTGAGTCATAACCCCGGAGGCTAGTGCAGAGATGAGCGAGGTATGTGGCCTGTAACAAGCTCGCAAAGATCGGTTGTGCTATATCAAGTAAATGGAAAACTGTCTGATCAGTTGCCCGGTGGCCGAGTGGGTAGCGTGTTTGCGTTCTGCCCATGAGGTCCCCAGTTGGGTCGATGGATTCGCGCTGCTGATGAGACCCAGCCAGGTCGAAACAGCTGTCCAGTGCTTCCCAGTTTTTCAGTTCACGCTTCATTTAACATATACACGACGAATTTTCCCTTTGGAATTAGAATCCGTTAGATCATCTAGCCCACCACACCATAGAGCCTTCAATCATACAGATTATACACAGAAAAGGTTTTACTCATTATAGTGATGTATGAAAGTCGAAACACACCTAACCGCGAAGACAACTGCATTCAGACCCTGAATGCTATTGTCTACATGTGACCAATAACCGAGAGCTCATTTAAAATGGTCGATGAGTTGAACATAATTCGGACTGAAGTGAGTTGAATAGACCAAGATCTCCCATTAAAAAGACGAATGAGTCACATGCAGATCCCATTAGGCTTCCTCGATAGGGACCTCGAGGTCGTGGTAACCGGGGGTTGGAGACAGTGAGCGATATGCCTGGGTGTGGCAAACAGTGGCGCTCGTGCAGCTATTCGTTATTCTCGCAAGCCCAGTCTATATAAATTCTTTATTCTCACTTTGACTCTGCTTCCCACATTCCAATCTTCATTCTGCTCTCTTATCCAAATGGGCGGCCAAAGGACAGCAACCAAAACCGGTGAATGAAAATGCACGATAAATGGTTGTACAAACTGAAACTGATGATAAGTCTCACTTGGGACACGGTGGAGTTAGTCGCTGTCTGGTGAATTTTGGTGCATACCTCGAGGGTAGATACTTTATCACGTGCTGGTGATGAGCACCGCTGCAAACAGAAGATTGAAATATCAACCTTTTCTATTCGGAATTCAAACTTGGCGAAGATATCTAATGAGAATGAAATTGTTGCAGTGTTCTCGACGCTTTCCAATATGAACCGCCACGTTGGAAGCCACACGGATAGCAATGTGTTTGCTTGTTTTTCTACTATTACTAGCTAAAAGGGAACCACATTGGAACACCTAAAACTAAGAACGCCATTCCTGTTCGACCAAAATGGATCCCGCCTAATCAGACTTGAATGCTCTGTCACCAATAGTTGGTTCGGGGCCGCAATGAAATACGTTGTTTGAATAAAGAAGCCAAAAACACAGGTCTGCACAATACATACTGGATCATTTCGCTGCATCACTCTGGTGCTAACTTGGCAACAAATGTGTTTGGTGAGTAATTTTGATCGCAATCTTTCTCCGCCTATGATTCTCTTATTTACTGACCATCTATATTAATGATCACATAGACTGAAGTATGCACGTGTACAGATGCAGCGAAATGATCCAGGATACATTGTGTAAACCTGTTTTTGGTTTCTTTATTCAAATTCGTTACGGGGAAACCGTGTTTCCGATATGTTACTTTTTTGTTAATACAAATGGATATTTTCCCCCTATATAACAGACCACTTCACACTACATCGTTAATTTTCCAATTTCATCGAGCTGTTTCGCATGTGGGTCTTTTGAATCGTTCAGATTGAAGCGTCGCGTTTTGACTGTTGCAATGTCACTGTCATCCACGATAAGCCTTCAAAATGTGAATACGGCAGCATATCCTGTACATACCATTTTATCCTCACAAGCTCTAGGAAAGATTAGACATGTCAGTGTTTCTTTCTCCCGACGGATTTGGCTAACTGAGACTAGTTCGCTTCGGGCTGTATTTTGAGATTCGCAAAGAGCAAGATGCGTGTACCACGATCGGTATCAAACGAAGCGATCCCGTAATCCCCATCCATCCATCCACCCACCACCCTCGGAAGGCAAAGAACGACACTTATTCAACGACCATGGGTCTATTTGGTTTTGTCCCTGTGCGTAATATCTCAATATTTTCGAAACCGTCAATGATTCGCAGTTAGCTAAAAATCACTGGGGAAGGAGAGGCGAAAAGGGGATCCGTGAGGACATATAATGTGCCATGAGAAATGTCCATTTCGTGGTCTTCACAATTGAAATCCAAGTGGAACTTCGGACAAAACAGTACTGATGACAATAACCCAGGTCTGGGGATGACAGGTCAACTTGTTTATTTTATACACATAAACGATCATCCATATTCAGGCCTGTGTCTGGCCAATGAGAGAAAACCGGTGCAATATTCCGGTTAATTTGCCACACTTCGTTTGTGCAGGATCAAGGAAAATCCCATCTGAGATTCGGAAATCTCACATTCTACGAGCGCCACCAAGGCCGTCTGTAGCGGGAAGATGAACCGGTATACAGATTGCCGTGACTGTTGGATCGATGAGAGTCGTCTGAGTGATCATCCGCTCCGGGGCCTGTATTGTTCCGATGCGCGTGATGACCGGAACCGCTGATCAAACGGGATAGGGAAGATGAGTCGGAAATAAACAAAACCCCATCGTGAACAGGAAAATATAGGGCAAGAACTGTTTGCTGACGCTGTACTATCGGATCAGAGAAGGAAGAAAATAAATGCGTTCACATGCGCGCTCAGATTAACAGTCTGTTTCACTCAAATTAGCCAGAAGCAGTCCAAGACGATGCAAAGTTGTTTGGACGGAATATTCATCCCCGACAAACGAACATTTTTAACAAATCTAACAGCCCCCCCTCCCCCCCCGAATGACATCTAGCGAGTGATTGGTAACCATCTGGTGCGGATAACCAAACAGATCAATAATTACAAAAACTACGGAAAAAATAGTATTTTTCAAAAAGGAGTCTGGCAGTTTCAATGTACTCAAATCTGCACGAAAGGCCAATTGTGGTGGAAGGCTTTCGACTGAAACTTTTCAGGTTCCAGAAGCCGTTCCTTCTTTGCCGCGGGATCGAATGAACCGACTGAATGAACAAAATACATGATTATATAAGGGTAATGGAGGATTTGATTTGCTTATATGATGATCTCGTGGTGTAAATGAGGCGTGAGCTAAAAAGCTGGGCAGTGATGGACAGCTATTTCAACCTGGTTGNTCATCAACAGTGCGAATCCATCGATTCAACTGAGGATCGAACCCGGGACCTGACAGATAGAACGCAAGCGAGGACCGATACTCGCAGCAAGCTCGCATAGACGGGTTGTACTATATCGTGTAAATTAAAAATATGAAACGGTCTGATCAGCTGCCCGGTAAGCCAGCTGGTAGTATGCTTGCGTGCTACCTGTGAGGTCTCGAGTTCAATCCCCAGTCGAGTTGATGGATTCGCACTGTTGATGAGGCTCAACCAGGTCAAAACAGCTGTCCAGTGCTCCCCAGCTTTTCAGCTCACGCCTCATTTACATGACGAAACCATCATATAAAAAAACATAATTGGTAAATGCGGTCGGCCCCGGTGTGAGCCGTTTGATACAGTGGTAAGACATGCGGCGTCCGCGAGACAAGTTTGGAGTTGAAAGCTTGGACGGAGGATTGCGAGTGAAGGTGATGATCAGTGCGAATCGACATCACCTATCTCATACCGATACTCACAAATTCAATGTGAGTTCTAGCCTAGTACGTTTAACTGAGGCGGCGATATCATTGAAACCAGTAAGGAAGAACTAGTTTGGTGGGAAGCTTTCGAATGGAGTCGGCAGATAGCAAACTGTATTTCCGTTCGCTGCAGTCGGGCCCTGTCATTATCACTGAAGATATCATCTGAACAAACTTGAATTGATAATGCTGGTCAGTCTCCTGGTTCGAGTTGATCGGCACGCGATGGCAACATGCATATCCCTAATGCAAGGGGGGCGGAATTCTAACCACGAGCAGCTTTAACGAGAGGCTGTCACTTCATGTGTACGGTTAGATGAATGAGTCGAGGATAGGGTCTGGAGATGAAGTTTAATGAGCAGCCGATTAGAACCGAAAATACATTTATCATGATTGCCTATCATAACAGTAATTCAGTTTTGGTGACCCGTAACCAAAAAACTCAATGCTAAAGGTTGTATTTCGGATTGTCATATTTATGTTGTGAGAAGGAAACCAGCAACCATGATCCTGAAACTTGGAGTGGCGGACCACATAAGGCTTCAGTAGGTCGGGCGTGGCAGTGAGCCGGGTGACGGCAGAGCGGCTTACCACCCTTGACAGTAAGCATACCTCGAATTCTAAGGAATGCGGAAACAGGATTTTAAATTCTTACACCGCGGTCTAACCACTATTAGTGGTGCATCTTCTATTTCTGTGAATGAGTTAGCTTTAAAGCTTTCAGAGTATCACGTAACTTCCTGTGTGAAATTTACGGAGAGGATTCTCACAGACCATGACCACCCATTGCACGCAGAACTGACACGTTGTCATTCCCATTATTCCACACGCTCCCCATTCCGCCAAATTCCATCTCGAATTAACGCTTACCACAATTCACTTATTCCGTATCTTGCTCGTCTACTCATAAACAAAGAGCGATGAATAAGCGAACTTTGTCTAAACCCTGGATTATGAAATGTCCCCATGTCTGTAAAAGCTTTTCTCCCCGTTGATTGTGTACATTGTAACGGTCAGCGTGTATGATTTTTTTTAACTAGAATGTGAGCTCCAGTGCTTGTAAAAGTTATACACAATACAATACA